TCCATGTAAGCAGAAAAGACCCATCTTGGTGCGGCTTCTGAGAGCCTTGGAAGGCCTGTCCCCCCACCCTCACACCCTGAGCCTACTGATGATGCTGACGGTGTCTTGATGTTTTTTCATCACGCTGTGAGAACACTCAGTCCCCTGCTAGACTGAAACGCTCACAGCAAACAACACACACCTGAGGTCCCGCCAGCCCCGGTCCAGGTGTGGCCTCCACGGGCAGCTCAAAGGGCCAGCCGCTGGCAGGAGGTACTCTTTGGACCTGCCATCCTCTCTCTGGCTTCTCTCTCCACTGGCTCATATGCATGCAAACATGAGAAGGCTTGTCTCTGGAAGGGGAATCAGTGGGGGTAAGGCCAGGCCTCTCTGTCAGGGAACCTGCTCCCCTGCTGCAGCTGTGGTGGCCTCCTCCTTTTTCTCTCCAGTCTCTGGTACCCCGTCCGTTACTCTGTGCTCCCCCCTTTCTCACCGCACCTTGACTTGTGACTCACCACTAGCCTTGTAAACTTTGCCTCCAATGTCTCCACGTCCCAGCCAGAGGCCTGCAGAGCAGGCACAGAGAGACTGGCCACACACCCATGCCATCCATGCTGGACAGAGTATAGACCAGAAGACAGCCATCTGAGGACACAGACACTCCTGGAAGCTGCCCCACGGGCAAAGGCTGTGGCTGGTCAACTCCTTCCCAGGCAAATTAGACTTTCCTGACTAGCGAGCAAGGAGCTCACTGGCACTGTGGGTTAGGCACCGGGCTTCTGATAGCAAGGTCGATAGTTCAACCACCAGCAGCTCCTTGGGCGAGAAGAGGCTGTGTGCTCCCATAAGGGATCTACGTATATCTGATCACCGTGTGTCAGAATTGACATGACAATGGGCTTGGTGTTGGTTTTATAGAGAGACCTCGAGACTGAGGAGGCATGGAGAGAGGATCAAATGTGGATAATATTCTTCTCCTGGTTAAGGACGATCAATGACTGAGAGGTCTCTCCTCAACAGCTAGACAGCTGTCTAACTGGATAGATAGTAGATAGGTGGGTGAATGGGTAGATGGATGGGTGGACGGGTGGGTGGATGGATAGATGGATGGATGGATGGATGGATGGACGGACGGACGGACGGATGGACGGGTGGACAGGTGGACGGGTAGATGGATGGATGGATGGGTGGGTGGATATTGTTAGGTGCCAGTGGTTCAGTTTCAACTCATCTGCTCCTTTGTGACAAAGTAGAACTGTCCCATGGGATTTCTGGCTGGTCATTTGTACAGAAACAGATAGTCCAATTTCCTGGCAGCACCGCATGGGCTGTGCATGAAGCTGCTGAGTACCAGGGCCATCGTTTGCACTGGCCCGCTGCACTGTGGGAGAAAGGCACCCGTACATACAACTATATAAAACATTGCCCCGCCCTGAGCCATCCTCATGCTGATCTGCCCGACTCCATCCAGCTTCATCCGGCATGGGCTGATGCATGTGCCCTGTCCTGAGTCTGGCCCTTTGAGGGTGAAACATGCAGGAGTGGAGCAAAGACAAGTCAGTCCACAAGATGTGAGGGGACCTGGGCTTGGACCAGAGCTTCCCTGGTGTCTGCTCACCCTCGGAACCCAGGGGTTTGAAACACATGTCCCCAGAGAAACCTACATTTCTCGGGCAGTAATTGATCGCCACCTATATTATTAATCACAACCCCCTGTGTCTTTATGTATCCACTAGCCTCAGGCCCTAGTCCATAGGGGAGAACCAGCGCTTGTCTGGGTTGGTTTATTCCGACCAAAAGAGAAAGGCAGGTTGTGGAGAAAGCAGGGGGCACTGGAGCCTGGGCCGTCCCACTGTGGGTCACCATAAGGTTTGAGATAGAACTGGGCTCTCAGACCAGGTTGCCCCCAGGCCTCCATGGGAGGAAGGGTGGTCAAGAAAGGCCATGAGGGCTGTCGGTCCATATATCCCACCTCACTGCCACATACCC